GGCAATCAGCTGTCGGGTGGTGGCGCGCATGTGCATGTGCAGTGCGGCTCTTCTGGGCAACCTCTCGCGTGCCGGTGGAAATGGCTCTGCGTATCACTTCCAGCAAGCGTGGCATAGGTTCGCCAATACGGAACTATATTATACAGTAGCTGAGGGCAATGTGTGCAGCAGCAACACATGTAGCAGCAACATCTATAGCACATTCTGTCAAAATTTTCCAACTACTGTATAGAACATTTTTGCTGAAGTTCTAATATCAGGGCACGCTACAAAGTTTAGCACAGACTACATAGTAAGATATGGTGGAGAGTCTTTTCAATTATGATACCTGTGTTACAAATTGCTTCCTGCAGAGATGTGCACTAAGCAACCACATTGCATTCTAGTGGAAAATTGACTTTTTATTTTTCCATTTTTTTTTCGACCATAAAACCTTTTAGGGGTTTTAAAACACTTCGTACTAATCTCCTATAGTTGTTTTATATTGCAGCCAGTTTTGCTCTTTTTTTCCGCTCATATCCGTATTTTATTTCTTATTTTGCTTTACGTTATTTTACTGTAGTGTTGTAAATTGCTTAAAGTATATTGGTATGCAATATAAACACATTACATAAAAATAAAGAAAACCACACTTGTGGAACTAAGGAACCTCAGCAAAATAAAAGCATTTTGCTCTATTATGGATTTCTACTGGTTTAACAGCCAGTAAAACCAGTAGTTCCCGTGCCATTTTCTTTATAATGTTTTCTTTGTTGTTCGTTTAATTTAAGTAAATTGCTAAGAGCAGTGAAGCTGGCAAAATACACTACGTTTAGACACAGCACTTTTTTGTAGCTGGGCTAAGGAATTAATCACACACTCGGAAACATGATCTAACCCCTTATTATTTAATTCAACAAATGAGATTAAATTGTGTGTGTTTGTGCATGTGGGCATGTGGCAGAAAACATCCTCCCTCTCAGTGTGCATTGTTTTGAAGCAACAGAATTTCTGCTAGTCGCTCTATGACCATGCCATATATACAAAAAGTAGCCTTCTAAAATGACAGCCTTATGAAATAAAGGCAATATTTTGCAATCACAAAACTGCTCAGCTTTCCAGTAATCCACTTGCTAAAACAGATAATCATGAACAAATAGAGCTATCTTTGCAGACAACTTCAGATTTAAATTACCATTCTTGCTGAAATCTTAAGTAAGCAAAGTATGTTTCATATTTGATGGAGAGCCCTGCATAAGGAACAACAATAACAAAGGAAAAAATAAGGTACAATATATTTTTGGCTTTTGACTATAGAAAATGAATAACCTCTTAAGGCATAGGTAATTTTGGAAAGACCATAGGGTAGGTATATATTTTCTATGGAAAAGCACAGCATTCAGTCACATGTGTGCATCTATGCACACACAACTGTTGCTTCAATAGCTTAACAATTCTTTTGTATTCAAAAAGCACCTTGACCTTTAATTTTATACCTTTATTAACCAAATAAAAGCTGCCTAAACAGTTGGGTGTGGATATGAGAAATACACAAAAGAAATTGCACAACGCTATGAAATCTCTACCACTATTCTCTTTCAAATAAGGCAAGACATTTAACTTATGCAAGCTATCAGCTACGTGAAACAATTAACTATCAAGTCCTTCTAGATGTTTTTGCAGTGTAGCATATTAACTTTTTGCTTTGGCAAACATTCTTTACTGCTAGCAAGTATTGGGATTCTTAAAAGGGAGAAAAGGAGACGGAAGTGTATGTCTATCAGAGGAATATTCCTCTAATGACCATTGTATTAGATGACAGATATGTAAGACCACAATGTAGGTTTGCTTGAATTTGGAACAGGCATCTTTAACCTAGATCCTCATGCTATATTGCAAATATAATTCCCAGAAATCTGAAAATGGTACTATGACCACATCAGTGGTATACCAGGTTGGGGAAACCTTTGAAAAGTATTTCAAAGTTGATGACTCCATGCTACAGGTGTAAAACTCATCAGCGTGTTTGTATAGTGAGAATTTTTGCTAATCTCACACATTATCAGTGGCAATTAAAACTGATGGACACTTCCTAGTCCAAAAGATGCATGGCTCAAGTTCTTACATTTAGAGGAGCCTCAAAAACCTCAGCATTTTCAACATGCTCCTGTAGTGATTCTAATTAGTCTTTCTTTCTTTCTTTCTTTCTTTCTTTCTTTCTTTCTTTCTTTCTTTCTTTCTTTCTTTCTTCCTTTCTCTCTCTCTCTCTCTCTCTTTCTTATTTATTTTCTCTTTTCTATCATCTATCTAACATGTCTATCTGTCCTTTATTATTTTTATAGATAACTCAAGTCAGCAAATACATACAGTGCTCCATCCTCCTCCTCCTATTTTCCACACAACAACCCTGTAATGCAGGTTATGCTGGCAGAGAATGAATAGCTCTAAGTCACCCAGCCAGCTTTCATTCTAAGGTGGGACTAGAACTCACAGTCTCCTGGTTTCTTGCCCGATGCCTTAACCACTACACAGATTGTACTGTCCAAAAGAGATACAACTGAGGACTACAGTTACAGAGTCCATAGATATGGAAGGATCTGGATGCTTTCCAGATACTAGGTATGATCTGAGTCTGCAAGTAAAATAAGATCCACATTAACTCTCAAAAACATTTTCCCAGAAGAAAATATCCAGATGGTTTCTGACCCACAAACCTAAATTATGTCAAAGAATCAACGTTACTGTTTTTCTTTCAGATTTTTTTTATCTTTTAATTCTATTTATGTCCTTATAAATATGTTCTTATTTTCTACCCACAGATTATTTTGACTCAATACTGACATCAGCCCTCATTCAGTCAGTCACATTAACCAGCTAACTTTGGAAACTGGAAACAGATGGATTCCACATGGAATTATTAGTTCATGACCCAGTGACAACATGTATAGTTCCAAACTACAATAATTCACCAATAGAATGGGAGGGTTACAATAATAGAGCTGCTCCATAATAAATGTCTTCCACATTGTAACATGTTCGGGATTAGAAAATGAAATATTAATTTCAAGAATTTTACAAATGTTATTGATTAATTGGAAAATCAATTTATTTGTGCATTTGTGACATTTCAGTAGGGATCTTGACAGAACATTATTTCTATCAGTATTTCACAAAAGCATTAATGAGCTATATAAAGGGTGATGTACAGACGTTCAAATTCTACAAAACATTGTGTCAGCGGTATATTTATTACCACTTGTAGAAGAAGTAAACAGTTTTTTTTAGTCTCCTGCCTTTCTATAAAGATGAATGCTTGGGATAAAGTCACACAGAGAAAAAGGATACCCTTATGTTCAAGAGCTGTAGCCAATATTCAATTATGGAAATATAAATAGAGCTGCCAAAGACCTCAATTATACTTATGATGTTGACGCAATAAAGAAGTACTAAAATAGCCAATGATTCTTATTCTAATAGATGGCAGGCCAAGATATTTTGCTGCCTGAGATGTAGCGCCAAAGCGTGCTTGCAACCACCTATGGACCTTAGCTAGCCATAGCACCTGAAGTCATCATTATTTTGGTACATGGAGAGAAACCTCCATAAGTATCTTTCCCTTCTGCCATACCACCAAAACATATAATAAAAAGAAGCAAATCACTGCCCTTTTACCATCCATAACTCCATCTACCTGGGACAGCTGCCTGAGGAATCTATGGCATTCCAGATGTTAATGAATTACAACTCTCAAAAACCCTAGGCACCCTGGCGAGTGATGCAACAATTGGAATTGCACTTCCAAACTCCTGAAGAGTCACAGATTACCCACTCTGGCCTGATAATAGAGCCTGGCTTTAAGGGCAAAACCTTTAAATATATTTTATGCTAAATATCTGTGAATAAGCATTCTCATGGGGTGTGACTTTTTCAACCTTCAAGTGTGCTAATCCAATCAAATCCTCACTTAAAACCTCTACAAAGATAATGAGGCCATCCCGCAGTGACCATAAGGGCTTCTTACTGGACATTCCATTTAGAACTGGGCCAATTCATCCAATTAGGAAGCATTTAATGGGAAGGATCTCTACAGCAGTGAAGTCCTAAATCTCCCAAGGACTCTGCAAATAATGTTATTGGGAAAGCAGGCAATGAAGTGGAAGGGAAGAGTCAAATTCCTGGCATACAAAATTATTGGTTCAGTTGGACAGTTGTGCATAGATGGGCATGAAATCACTATCATCTACAAAATAATCCTAAAAACAAAACAAAAAACAACCAGGATTTAAAAAAAAATATAAACAATGAAAGACAGTTTCCTTAAATTTTGTCATTTGTTTCAGTACCAATGAGGAAAGATGCAAGCCAGTCTCACAGCACTGGGAGTAGATAAGAAAATAATTGTTAACTACTGTGGGGCAGCAGAGAGACCTTTATCTTCTCCTGGAAGGCCCTTCCGAGGAAGAAGAAAACTATCAATGGGAGTTTACTCTACTTGGATATGTTTGTTTACTTATTTATTTTTTAAAGAAGGGATATCAGAACAGGAGTGCCGGAAGGCGAAAGGCTCCCACTCCAAAGCAATCCCAAACCCCGTTGTGCTGCTTCGTCCACTCAGCTGCAGAACAGAAGTGGCCCATAGCCCAACAATGTCCCAATGTTGCCGCTTTTTCAAGGGGCAACTGGAGTTTCTGGTTTTTTTTTTCTTTGAAGACGTTTCGCTTCTCATCCAAGAAGCTTCATTCAGCTCAGAAGCGAAAACGTCTTCAAAGAAAACCCAGAAACTCCAGTTGCCTCTTGAAAAAGCACCTTTGGGACAACCGTGACCTGGAGGACGGAGAATCTCCATAGACATAGCCCAACAAGAGACTCGGACCTGGAGCGCACCCACTTGGGAAACGTAAAACCAAGCGGGCGGGAGAGCGTGAAAGGGGCAAAAACCGGTTAAAAAAAAAAAACCAAGTCGAGAGTCGGCTGCCGTCCCCCCGGCCGAGAGGGAACTCGGAGGAGCGGAATCTCCTTACCTGTGACAGCCCTGAAGTCCCGCGAAAACAGAGCCCATAGTGCCGGCAACAGCAACAGGAGTCCCCGCATCTGCATAGTCTGCTTCATCTCCATCTCTTCCCCCTCATCATCTTTATCACCATCCTCCTTGCGACCTCCAAAGCGCTCTTCTCGCCTCGGACCCCAAAATTCAAAGTCGGGGAGGAAAGGAAGGCGAGGGAAAGGGGGAAAGGGAGACCGGGCGGGCGGCAAAGCAACAAGGGAGCGGGGAAAGGGGGAGGAAAACCAACGACGCCCCTTCCCTGAAAGAGAAGCTAGCCGTCCGCGCCCCCTCGCTCTGGGCGCGAAGAGGGGCTCGGCGCCCACGCGTTCGCGCCCGGCAAGCCGGGAAAAGAAGAAGCGGCTGGAGATGGCAGCGCCAGGCACCCCACCAGCGCCGGCTCGGCCGGCGGCTCTGTTCCCTTTCCCTGAGCTTGTGGCCAACAAGTCGAGAAGGTCCCCCTCTGCCGGCCTCCTTCCCGCAGTGCACTGAGTTCATCGGGCCCGCCGAGCGAGTTGAGCTTGGCCCGGCGCGGAGCTCCCTCCTTCGGCTGCCGCGACTTCCTTCTCCAAGTCTTGGCAGCGGCTTCTTGCTTCTCCCTCCAGGAAATGGCGCTTTCAGGAGGCCACAGCTCTCCTGCTCATGACATCACCGGCTTCATGAATATTAATCCGTCGACGGCTTATCCTATTGCTTTCCTGAACTTTGTTGTTTTGTTCCCCCGCGAAGTGGAAAATAATAGGCCTGCGGCAGAATCAACGTGGTTTCTCTTTTTCAAGGAGAGGGGAAGGCGCGGGTGCGACCTTTGTTTTCCCCCTGCGCGCAGGTTAGTCAGCGAGCCGCAGTTTCCTACACAAGGAGCAGCTCATTCCAAATTAAAGAGGTCGTGATTTTGAAACAGAGAGAGAGAGAGAGAGAGAAAACATAGAAGGGTCTGTCAGACGCGAACAAATAAAGGACTACCCGTTACCAATCTTCATCCATAGAAGGACGCCAGTCGATCAATACTAATAAATAATGTTTACAGAGGCATACAACATCGATGTGGATTTAAAAATCCAAGAGTGAGAATTTAGTCTCTTCTTCCTTTTTCTCTTTTACAGAGTATACATCTTATGTTCAGTTTTTTTATCAGATATTCTTTGCAGGATGGAATCAAAGCATTAACATACAAATTCATTCATTCAGTTTATCCTAATCCCACTTCTCTTTTTGTCCTCTTTTGTTAATGTGACCAGTGAAATAAGTGAATGTGGGAAATTCTTCATTATGAATATTGTATAATATGTTCATAATGTATGGTTCTGATATTTCATTTATTTTGTGTAGCTAACTTCTTTGAACCCAATTTTGCCTTTTAAGTTAGGGATGATTAAATATAGTTATTGGTCCAAAATTATTAAACTAAACGTGGACTTGAACCTAGTCTCCTTAGTCCTGTGTGACATCTTACCTAGTAATTAGGACCATCAACCAATCAACATGTTTAAATTGAGGAATCTGAGTTGTAGTCTCTCGTGAGTAGACCATCATAAAACTTACAAAATTTAGTTGGATGTTTATGGGAAGAAGAAGTAAATTTACTTCTTGCTTGTTTGTACTGTAAAAATCTATGTAAGTTTGGCATGTTTGGTGGAAATACCTGTCTAGTGGAAATACCTTAATCCAAATTGTCAGCACCTTTTACTGGAAATTAAAGCCAGTAGAGAAAAAAAAGAATTTGGCTATCATGTTTTGGTTGCAAATTGGGTAGCAGAGAGATATGACTTCAGCAACAGAGTGGTCAACATCTGGAATTCTGTACCTAAATGATTTCTTCCCCAAACCCCACAAACTTTAACCTTAGACTTTCTACTATTGACCTCACCCCTTTCCTAAGAGGTCTTTAGGGGGCGTGCATAAGTGCACCAACGTGCCTACGGTCCCTGTCCTATTGTTTCTTTTATTTTTCTTATATGTATTCATATATTCATAACTATGTTTTTACTTATACCTATTATCTTGTAAGCAATTGACAAACCAAATAAAATAAAATAAAAATAAATAAGTAAAATGTAGTAACTCTTGCTTAACTGGTTGAAAACCAGAGAAAAGGGAGTGTGTAACTATGTATTCTCTAGTTCCCTGTGTATGGCTGGCCCAAGATATCTGACTGCCTGAGCTACGGCCAATTATTTTGACCCAAAATATAAGAAAATATCAAAACAGCTTCTCATGGCAGTAATACCACAATAATAAATTGCATAACCATTTGCTGTTGCTTCACAGCTGTCCAAATTTAGTGGGTCACTTCACATTGCCCAAATTAGGGCCCTAAAGAGCTAAGTATAAATAGTATAAAAAACTTGATAATAAGAAATAACAAAACTCAATAAAATATGTAAATATTGGCAATGACAAATTCATTATCAGTCAATTGCAAAAGGCAGCTTTACTCAGAACAGCTTACATCCTGTGATACCTGTAAGACCATCAAATATCCACACCTGCCTATCCCAGGTCCTTGGGAAGGACTCAGTAGGTGGACAAAAATGCCAAATCCAGTCTGAACATCTATGGCTGAATGTGGATGAATAGTAATAATAATAAGGGAGACAATTTTTCTAAATATTGTAATCAATAAATAGTTGCCAAGTCTGTAAGAAAGCCATGCTTCCTTACAGCCATGGTGGTTTAAAAAAAACACAGGAATCTGAAAGCATCTTTTCTAACCAACAAATTTAAGCTCACAAAAATCTGTTTAGTCAGAAAAGGTGCTATCAGCTTTTTTATCTTTTGCCAAACTCTATTGAGTTGGGTTGAGTAATGAAACTTGGTTGGGTAATGTAACATATGCAAGAAAACAACCAAGCTCAGAGAGGATCAAGGACTCCATACTTCAACCCCAAGTACAAATATTCTCTTCTATTGAAACTCTGTTGAATTTATTAATGCTTTTAAAAAAATCTCAGCTGTGTTGCAATGTTAAGCATGGAAGCGACCTCTCCAAATTCCAGCTATAACTTCCTCAAAGAAATGTTTATTACTTCCTTTGGCTACTTCCTTAGTATTTCCTTTATGGTGCATGATGATAGGTAGATAAGATTAAGTAGCTTTCAAGGTTGTAATTAGGTGTAAATAAAGAGGAAAACAATACAGAGTACTCTTAATATTTCTCCCCAGCTCCTGTAGGTTTCTTACTGCCTGTGTGCATGAAATGTTTAGCTGTGATTATTCTAATCATAATTCAGACTCTTTTCTGGTTTTGCATAAATACAACATTTGACTTGTTTCTGAATTGGTACAATTATTATTATTCTTTTAGTTTTTATCCTGATGAAGGCCTTTATTTAACTCTTGTTTACATAAAAAGAAATTGAGAGACATTCCAAATAAATCATTATCAAAGTTATCTGTTTTAGCAAACTTTAAACTTTTCAACTTATACCCCCACTCCTGGTGATTTCACGGATGCATCCATTCAATTGTTGCCTTTGCTTACATATGCTGGGGGGGGGGCAGGATTTTTTTTATAGGAAAGAAATTATACTCTCATAAAACATCTGGTTGTGGTAATATACTGTATATTAATCCAAATAGAGATATACAAAATAGTTGAACACTTCAGATTCCAAGAACTGTTCTTCAACCAGGATGTGTAAAAAACTGTTTTCATCAGATATGCTGATTGGATGTCAAGAAGCCATAAGTCCTATCAGTATTGCAAGAGTGTTTAATTAATATTATCTCTTCCTGCCAGCATGAGATTTTGACCTGTAAAGCAACCTACTGGTTCAAACCCTTAGGAGCATCATGGAAGTTCTGCTAATTAAAAGTGCCCTCCTGCTGCCTAAGAATGAAAATACAGCGGGATAGTTAAATAGTAGGATGAAACTGTTTTGCTTATTTGTCCTTTAAATATGTGTTTAACATGCTTTTCATTTAACTTTGAGGGAAAATATTTCCACAATTCCTGTAATTCTTCAATATTAAACCTTGTTTCCCATTTGTTACATTTCAAAAGAGACAATTTGTTTTTTATAGTGTTTCTAAAATTTCCCTTTATTAAACTTGAAATCTGGTCTCCAACATTAAATCTACTATTTTATTTTATTGAGGTAATGTGCAGCTATCGAATCTCATCAGGCTCAAGGTTGACTTAGCCTTCCAGCCTTCCGAGGTGGGTAAAAAACTGTTGGGAGCAATATGCTGACTCTGTAAACCGCTTAGAAAGGGCTGTAAAGCACTATATAAGTCTAAGGGCTGTAAAGCGGTATATAAGTCTAAGTGCTATTGCTATTAATGAAATTCCCATGTGTTTAAAGTGTCCTGTTGAATTTTCTGTTCTGTAAAACTTTTTCTTAATTTCCAAGTTGAAAACTATTCCTTTTAAAAGATGAATTATTAGGTAAAAATAGTTAATAGTTCTGCAATTACTATGCTGAAATACTTGGACTAGTTTAATGGTAGTCTGAATCTAAATCCAATACTTATTTGTGGGAGCCTAGACTGGGTACCAATAAGATGTACTGTCTTTCTTTAACTTCCAGAATTCTGTAATTAGTATAATTACTGGGACTTTGGGGTCCGTCTCAAGACCATAGTAAAAGATTGTTGTACATTGCCAGTGAAAGGTATTGAGCCATGGGAATTGAGGGTCATTTGGTGTGTTTGGGTGGATGGATAGATGAATGCGTGGATGGATTGTAAGTTTAAAAGTGAATAAGATGAATGTGTCTGAGAAGATTTGTGTGAGAAGAGCGACTTTGTAAGCGTGGTTTCACTAACATAGTGATATAGTTTCACTTAAATTGGCAAAGGGTTCGACTGTTATTTGCTGCTGGTTAATAATTAACAAATGTTATTCAATATAATATTTATAATTATAAAATCTATAATGAAAAAATACAAAAAGTATTTTTATGATTTTTTTCTCAGTGTATATTTAACTAGTAGCAGATATACCTCTTATAATGCTAACTACATTTTTTTTTGTTATATGCCTGTTTGCTAGAGCTCCCTGGGTACTTCAAAGAAAGCAGATAAAACCATGGAAGACAAGAACAAGGGAATATAACGTAAGTAATAAAGACACAAAACTAAGCTGGTTAAATCAGCACAGGAGTCTAGTAGGAAAGTAAATTTAGATTGTTTCCTAGAAGTAATAAAGCTATACTTAAGTATTTTGGATTCAAAATGTGAAGAATTTGATGCGTGGGGAAAATGAAGGACAATTGAAAATTGAAGCTGACCGAGGTCAAGGTGACCAGATGCTGTCACTGATGACACAAGCAGGAGCTTACAAGAACTCATTTACAACAATAAGTCATAGCAAAATGATGTCTACAAAGAGAGGGAAATGACTGAACAATTGCACAGCAAGAAACCTTGATTTGTAACTTTAAAGTGTAGTTCTTGTGATGTCATTGTAACTTCCACAGTCATCCCTAAGGAGCCTTCTCTGTGCTTGCAAAAGAGGGTTTCTCAATATAAGGAACCACCTGCTTCTCCAGCATTACACATCTGTTGAGTATGTGAAAGTGCAACATCATCCTCAGGCCACTCCTGTGAACGTGGCCTCTGTTCAACTTTGTTCCGCTTCAGACATTTGCCAGCTTCTGC